TACGGTCTGAATCAGCTTCAAACGCTGATTCCAAATATGCTATTTCTAGCTGCCATGCACCATTCCGAAGCGAGTTGTGGGCTTTTTCCTGCAAAATTAGCATGCTCATCGACTCACGGGCATCACGTCATCACCGTTTAAGTGCTGATACACCTGCGTTGAGTTTTTCAGTGAGAAAAGATTGAATTTGTACTACTTCGATACCTCAGCACCTTTTTCTTGCAGATTTTTATCCACAGGCAGTCTCCTCATGTTCAGGAGTATGCCAATTTTGCGTAGGAAAAAACCCATAACTCGCTTCCGAATGGTGCGTGACAGCTAGGAATAGCATATTTGGAATCAGCGTTTGAAGCTGATCCGGAATATATATGCCTTTTACCAAAAGGCCGAGCTAAGTTAGGTAGCTTTCCTTATAAGAAGCAAGCTAAGGAAGAGAAGAAATTGCTTTGTGTTCCATGGGATTTGCTCTATCTATTCGTTACTTCTTCTTCTTTGAAGAAATGGTACAAAAATTTAAAAAAATTGTGAAACTTGACTATCTCAAAAAGCATGAGATGCAGATTGCAGTATTTTCTCAGAGCTCATTGAATCTTGTGCAATGGAACACTTATGAGAATAAAATGCTGCATCGACTGCTTCCAAGAACTATTAAAAATCTTTTTTCCCATGTAATAAGCGACATGGCTTTCAAAACGACCCGAAAGTTGCATTTCTCGTTCTAGTGATCCGTACGGTAATTCGGAGTGCACGAAACCGATCTGGAAATCTCTTTCGTTCGCGATGCTTTTTACTCCAACTTCAAATGAGATGCTATCTTCAAAGCTTACTGGCAAGACCTGATCTTTGCCATTTTTTATGATTGATATGGCTGTCATACAGGTGTACTAAAAGTATTTTTTCGATAAAAACAGAAACATATTACAGAATTTTGTGCAAACATTACTAAAATACTAACTACGTTACAGCACTCAAGTGTCGTGACGGCATCTTTTTTTGTCAACCGGAGTCTTCAAATTGTTGGCGATTGCCATTGCCTATGCATGCAGGTAGTCATTATCAATTTCGTCCCACGCCTTTACGTAAATATTTATCCTTGGAACACGTGCAGTATGATAGAGCAAGCTTTCAGCTACAACATTCTTTGAAGCAAAATATTGGTAAGGTTTTTGATTGAAATTCTAGAAATTTAAAAAAGGCATGTGTAGATCTCATGCTGGAGTTTTGGACACAATTACAGGATGTGAAATCAAAAAATCGGCTACGGTGTGGTTCAAAACCAAGTTCTTCATCCGAGTTGAACTAACAAACTATTTAGGAGAGAAGTTACTTCAATATCTGTGATTGCTGCATTTCAACAAAATTAACAGTTCAAAATTTCAAAAAGCATAATGTTAGTAGCACATTCAAAGGCTTCAAATTTTTTTGCCAGTTTTTCTAGATAGAATACGGCTACTATAGTGATAGAAGTGCGAGACCTTCTTTATATTGTAGACATGAAGCACACAATATTCCAAATTTTTTTGACAAAACAAATTGTGAACCTTAGAATAAATTTTTGCTCTCGGAGAAAGAAATGATTGAATAACTCCATTTTTGACCAAATATGACCATTCTGTACTCACAATGATCACCTTTGAAGAATGATCGCACCATTCTGCGGCATATGTTTGCGTCCAAATTGCCAGTGAGTCCAAATTGCCAGTGATTCAAAGTCATAAGTAATGCAAACTTAAGCTACAAGGCATTTGAAACACCCTGTAAAATACCATATTGCACTTGCCCCTCATTTGCCTTTAGTATTATCATTGATGCCAAAATTCTATAGCGAATATGGGGTTCCAACTGGCTAGCGACTTATGGTCAAAAGATATTGACGTTTAAGGTTTCATGAAATTAACAAACCAGTGTATTTTCAAAGTTCCTCGCAGGCAAAACAGTACTTAGCCTTTACTTCTAAGAATATCGAATTGCGGAACCATCGAAGAGGTCAAAGATTTGCGCCCACTAATCATTACTTCCGCCTGCGATTATCACATCCTTAGCATTTGACAATCTTTCAAATACCAAGATTATCTTTTCCGTGCGTATGCATGCAGACAGCAACAAAGTAACAAAGTAATCTTTGACACCGTTTACAAAACATGCACGGATAATCTTTAACGGATTAAAGTAAGTGTAGGAGTTATGGTTGTTTTAGCCACATAAGTACACATTTAGAATAAGCAACTCTATTTCCAGTGATTTTATGTGGTCATAATTAACCATCCAGCAGCATTGTATAACAATGAGTGCTGGCCATGTACGCGGAAAGGGGACCGCAAGCTCATTATCATGGAAACAAGGATGCTTCGATGGACCACTAGTCACCAGTCTACTAGTCACACTAAAAGCAAAGAATTTTGATTGTCTACACAGACCTTGACAGAGCAAGAGCTAAGCTAAGTGTACAAGGTGCGCATGTAGTAGAGCTTTGTAATGTAGCATAGGACACAACTCTCTGACTGGGGAACGATGAAAGAACTGTTATGCTTATATTGAAAACATAAATGTAAAATCTCCTTATTCATTCGGCTGTGCAGTCAATACTTGCAAAAGAAATTCTGAAGATTCAGAATAAGATGTCCCATTATCTTAGCTCAATGCTACGGTAACTTATCACTGCAAATCGAATGGTAAATCAAAGACTGTGCGATATTGTAAGAAAGCATTTCACCAAAAAAGCACAATCACATATCACTCCTGCAAGACCTGTTTTACGAACCTTCTAAACTACATCCTGAACTGCCAACTATGTCTAAGCATCGTATTAAGTGGTAATTCCTTGAATGGCTGAGAAACTCAATTCTATTGCTTTTTAGTAAGCATAATGTAGCAAAATCGACGAATTATAAAACACCATGGAAACCAACTGTGCTGGGTAAATTCAGCATTCAACTTTTCTACTCATCACCAACCGATCGAAAAAACGAAAACATAAGCTAAATTATGTTGGCCAGAAACATCAGAACGACTTGACATGACTGAATCTTTCCTGAGAGTAATACAGCGATAAATTTCGGTTCCAACGAGGGAGGGGGACTCAACAAATAAGAGATCTGTGATTACAGTCCTTATAGACTTATCCCCAAATCCATCGTTTCCAAAATCAAATCTCAAATGAGGATTGGGATGAATGATGATTAACGGAGTGATGAAAAAGTCAAGCTTTTTGCGATATACGTAAACGATTGAAAACTCACCTGTTCGTTAGTATCTACTTTTCCAATAAAAGATTTGTTTTTTAAGTGAATGTGGAGCTACTAAAAAAGCGGCATGTACCTCCCCTCCACTATACAGAGGTCGACATAACAAAAAATCGCTTTCATAACACTCGCTTGGAAGGTTATCAGACTCCAATAAAGCCAAAAGAAAACTAATGTATAAAGTAGGGAAAAGTATTAGGTTGTCCGGAAATTAATATCGCATCGTGTTTTAACATGCAATATCACAGCAGTGTGCGCACGAAAGTAAGTAAATAGGGTATCAACCGATAGATCAGAGCAAGCTCTACAATGTGAAGCTCGAACTTTCGCGCCAGGTTTGATTATTGTGTGAAATTTGGAGCCAAATTGCATAAGGCATTAGAAATCTGTGGAGTTATTGAAAAAAGAAAAAAATCGTTCCTCTGTTCAGAAAAGTCCTGGGAACCCCCAACTTGCTCACGCATCTCAGGACTGTTTTTGCAAAAATATGGCGAATTCCGTTTTCTCAATTTTCAGCCATGGAAAATAAAAAAATATGGCTGAAAATTGAGAAAAAATTCGTCATATTTTTGCAAAAACAGTCCTGAGCTTCTCTCACATAGGTGATTCTGTAGCACGAACCTTTGGGAGTCTATATATAAAATCTCAGCTTTAGACAAGCCCTAGTTTTCGAGAAAAAAATGTTTGCGAAAATTCTGATAAATGCATACATATTCGCACTTTTGATTTATTCTTGTTGATCGTAATGTAGCCATGGAAAAACAACACAAACTATACAGGTGAATATCTCGTGTGGAGAGTACATGCCTGTGCAATTTGGAGATCCCTAAGACGTATATGAACGAGAATACGATTTTTTGGGTATTTGGAATTTTTATAGTGCGAAGAGCAAAAAGGAGATGATGTCCTCCTCAAATATGGTCATCGTACGCTCCAGCAACGATGCAGCTGTGCAGTCGCAAGGATTCGTAGCACATTGGAGGACAGGTAAGTAGATGTAATTGCAAGAGTTTTTGATTCCTGTTTGCTTTGCAAGGAACTCTTTGAATAGTATTATTACCAATCCTCTGAGATGATTCTTTCTTAATTTTTCAGCGGCAAGAACAAACTTTCGTTTTCGAAATAGTCAAATGTCAACCGAAAAAAATGAGCTTGAGGCCTCAGCCGGACTTCGCTCAAATACGGCCAAAAGCGCTCAAAAGCACTCACATTCAAAAGCGCCCAAACTCCTCTTACTTCTCCTCACTTCCCATCTCTCCTCACACGAGAAAGTGAAGAGAGATTAGAGAAGTTTGGGCGTTTTTGGGCGCTTTTGAGCGAAGCCTGGCCAGGGCTTCAGAGAAATCAAGAAACAATCATTTCAAAGGATTGGTGATATTGCTATTCAAAGAGTTCTTTGCAAAGCAAACAAAATGAGATTAAAAACTCTTGCAAAATGCATTTACTTACCGGTCCTCCAATGCGCTAAGAATCGCGACTGCACAGCTGCATCGCTGCTGGAGCGTATGATGATCACATTTGAAAAGGACATCATCTCCTTCTTGCTTTCTTTGGTTTTCTTCATGTCTGCAGAAAAGTTCCAAGTTTTGAATAGAAACTAATCAAAAAACCCCCTCTTCAAGCCCAACGACCGGAAAGGTCTTCCAGCGAACGCCCTGATAAGAAGGCGGCCAATCAGAGCCCGCCGCCGCTCCTTGGCCCCGCCCCCAGGGTACATAAGGCGGCGGGCTCTGAGGTCGCATCATTTGTGTTGGGATCATGGAGGCTGTGTGGATCAGAATATTAGATGTGTTCAAATGTATCAATACGATTGATGGTGAATATCTGGTAATTGACGACGATAAAATCTGCAAAACCCTACAAGAAGCCCACCCAAAAAGACCACGAGGAGCGAGCAATAAACAGCAGCACCTGGAAGAGACTGATATGTTTCCGGCTAAGAGGAGGTGAGTTTGAAAAAATGAATGTATTGACTAAACTTCAAGTTGCAGATGTTCACCCAATTCTCCACGAGCGCCTAAGCCACCTCCAGTCAAGTCAAATACTCTCGCATCGGTACCATGCGCCAGACTGTGGTGAATGAAGAAGCCAAGGCGGATTCGGAAGTCGACTTTATTGTAAGAGCCGTGCGAGCTGCGCTGCAGGAGAAAAAGTACAAGACGAAAGGGAACATGAATCCGTTGGTGGATGAAATCTTCAGCCTCGACTGATTTGCGAATATACGTTGTGAAACTGTTTTTGTGACTTTGTTGTTAATAAAAGAAATCTGCGATGATGTGTTATCATACGTAAACAGAAAAAACGTTCAAGTAGAGTTGAAGACAAAGGAAATGTGGCAGAAGTCCGTGCGTGTCGTGCGCTGTCGCGCCATCGTCATGATTTTTCGAACGTCCAATATGTCTTTATGTCTGTCTCTATGTGGGTATAGGGGCCTGCAGGATCGCGAGAGTCGGACGTGCGTACGGCCATTGCGCCGCGCACGTTCCGATGTCACTAAGGCAGGTGCCAGACTTATCCGCTTCAGCCGGTTCGTTCGGTTGCAAAGTTGTGAACCGAATGAACTTGTACGACAGGATAATTCTGGCACCTACCTGTGTCGTCGGACGCACATTTGACGTGAGCGGCGCAATGGCCGTACCACGTCCGACTCTCGCGATCCTGCGGGCCCCCTATACGTATGTTTCGAATAGAAAATTCCATTTTAAACCGATCTGGACCAAACTTGACACATATACTTCGGAGGGCGGGTGTCGTAGGCTACTTTTCTTTAATACGTTTCGGACCGGTGCTGCACATGGTGTAGCACGTTGCTTTGAAGGATCTTTTTGTTGTTTACAGTAGATTTTCTTTCAGTCCAAGGTTATCAAGACAAAGGCCTAAGCTTCTACTTTTCAAATGACTCTGTAGAGTTGTGTCGCCATTGTTTGCTAAAGAGATATGAGCACAAATCGAACAACAGTTGCAACGAAGTGCGGCAACGCGAACGACGCGTGCGACGTCGCAACTTTCCTTTACTTCAATATCGAAGAAAAAACCGCAGTTCCAATACTCATGTGCACCGTCTACAACATAAATAGTTTTGGATACTGTTAGGAACTGAGTTTTTGTTCCTATGTTTCTGTAAAGCACAAAAGTCCTTGAGCAACAACAATTAAACATTTCGAATCCACTCAAAACTTTGGGTATGGAACTTATCTGACAAGCTGCTTACAGATGTAGCACACAGTCTACGAAATAAGATCCCTTTGTTGGCTAATGGTTGGATTTCGCGGTCCGAAACGTGTTAACGATTGATGTCTATTTTGTCGATTTCTAATGATTTTTTGTAGAGTTTGACCTGCGGGGCTGGGAGTTGGCACAATGGGGTAATCGAACATGCTGATTTTACAATATTAGTTTGCAAAATTATCAAACACTTTTATCGATTTTATCGACTTTTTTGCAAAATTTGAGCTACGGGACTGGGAGTGGGCACAGGTGGTAGACGAACATGCTGATTACGAATACAATATTAGTTTCCAGAATTATCAAATACTTTTGTCGATTTCATCAATTTTTTGCAAAGTTTGGGCTACGGGACTGGGAGTGGGCACGGAGGTGGGGGAGTCGAAAATGCATTACGAATACAATATTTGTTTTTGAAATTATTTGTTACTTTTATCGATATCAATCTTCTGCATGTCTGCAGTTGTATTCCTCTTTTTGAGGAGAACAACTTTTTTTTTTTCGCCGTAGTGTATATACGTGGTGCCGGGCGGAGTATGCCGGGTATGGCAGCTAGTAAAACAATAAAGTCGCACAAAAATTTGACGAATACCATGACCTTTGAAAACATATCTCACTAACTCATTCTCGTATTTCCTGTCCAGCACCAGGACACGAAAAATTCTAGTGATAATCATCTGAAAGAAAAAAGGGTACTTTTCTGTCATCCGGACCCTTTTTTTCAAGAAAAGATATTGCTTCTATATTATGTCCCACCTTCACATGAAGGAGTGTCAACCTTCTGCCACGTGTCAAAAAAATTTGACATGTCATCTACATGTTTAACAGGTTTTGCCAAGAGTTTGTGTTACCCTACTTAGCGGTGTAAGAAGAGAAGGGACAGCCATTAACACCGACGAATATTCAAGACATACGCGCCCAAACGACTCTGTGCAAGTGGGAAATGAAATTTATGACAACAGGCATTGTACCATACAACCGCCTCCTTTTGATGTTGTTAAATGCACATACAAATTTGGAAATATGCGGTTACTTTCAAGTACTAAAATATCTATATAAATATGTCTACAAAGGGCCCGATCGAGCTTCCTTACTTCTTCTGCAAAACAACCAAATTGACAACTCCGACGAAATCCGGGCGCACCTCGATGCCCGTTACGTATGTTCTCCGGAAGCTTTGCACCATATTTTTATGTATGAGTGCCAATTCAAGTCTGACACAGTGTGCAGATTGCAGGTTCATCCTCCTAACTTCCGAACTGTTACATTTACATCCGGTAGAGAAAGGGAAGCTATGGAAAGGGGCCAGTAAGGATACAGCGCTCGCTGCATGGTTCAAACTCAATTCTGAGTATGAGCAGTTAGAACTAGAAAACTCCTTACTGCCAGGAATGATCGACCCGCGCACCCTCTACTACCACCAGCTCCCGGAATATTTTACATTTGTTAAGCAAGTTGGGAGATGGAAAAAACGTAGAAAAGGCAATCGTTAGATTGGACGCACGTACATGGCTACTCCGAATCAGACGGAAAGGTTCAGCTTGCGCATTCTTCTCCTACATCGAAGGAATACGAAATCTTTTGAAGATCTGCGTACCGTGGATAACCACCTATAAACGTTCGCAACAGCTGCGCGGGCTCTTGGACTGCTCCACGATGACAAACACTATGAACGCTGCCTGGAAGAACGGTATATTTTCAAATGCCGGCCGAGTTGAGAGAGTTGTTCTGCTACATTTTGTGAAGTTAGCGATCCAGCACATCTTTTCGAACGCTTCAGATCTGACATGTTGGAAGACTTTGTGCACAGAGGTGCCACACCAGACGGTGCTGTAGTTTTGGCTTACTACGAAATGTTTGATATGCTGGAGACCCTGCAATGTGATCTTTCACAACGGATCCGTCCTCCGCGCCTCGCCCATATGAGCAGGCCATCGAAACTGATTACGATCATTGTGCCAGGAAAGGATCACAGAGACTTCCTCAATGATGAGCAGCGTCTTACAGTTAACAGCATCCTTACATCATGCGATGTCGGTAGCTGCAAACCGCACTTTATTGATGGGCCGGATGACAGCGGAAAAACTTTTCTTTACAATACCATCTACCAGACTTTAAAAGACAGCGCAAGTCCATCTATATGTGGCTTGGACCGGAATTGCCGCCAGTCTACTGCCGGAGGGGAGAACGAAAGAATGTCAGCTCGACATTTAAGCTCAACATGCAATTCGGAAATCGAGATTGTATGCTCCGGCGGGAGTGCAAAGAGGCATTGCCTTTGAAGAAAGCTGATGTGACCATTTGGGAGAGATTAACATGGTGCCAAAGCATTCTTTGGAAGCAGTAGATTTCCTACTCAAAGATTTGATATGCAACACGCCCATTAGAGGGAAAACGTTAGTCCTTGGAATGACTTTAGGCAAGTCCTGCCTATAGAGGAACGTGGAATCAGATGTGGTTGATATGTACGTGAAGAATAGCCACCTTTGGAGTGCCTTTCGCAAGCATACTCTATCACTGAATATGAGGACGGGTGAATCAGATCTACCACGGTGCGATTTCCTAATCAATGTTGGGGACGTGAAAGCAGAAGAAGATGCGGAAGGCTGCATAGAACTTTCACAGGTTATCGTCCCTAATGGCGACCTTATTGACGAAATTTTGGGAATCAGATTACCATCATCGACGTTCTCAGTGACCGTGCAATTCTAGCACCAAGGAACATCGATGTTAATCGCATCACTGAGGACCACTGAATAGGCTTCCAGATGAAGCGAAAGAGTTCAAAAGTGTGAATGAGGTAGCAAGCGAAGGGTACAGGGAATACAGCACGGAATTTTTAAATGGTCTATCACGTGCAGGACTACCTTCTCACAATTTGCGATTGAAAAATGGTGCGATAGTGATGCTGCTTTGCAATTTGGATGTCAAGAAGGGGTCATGTAATGGAACTAGCTTGATATTGATTCATCTTGGGCATTACGTGCTTGGTTGTCAGTTTGTACCCGGAGAACGAAGAGGTCAGTTTGTCCCTATACCAAGAATATACAACTTTACCAATAAAGGCGTTCTTGTTCGTGTGCAGCGACGGCAATTTTCCCTTCGACTTGCGTTCGCTATGAACGCAAGTCGAAGGGAAAGCTACCATTAACAGGCTCAAGGCCAGAGTCTATCGTGGGGATTCACCTCGGAACCGAAGTCTTTTCTCATGGGCAACTCTATGTTGCGCTTTCATGGGCGCTAATAAAAGAAGGTTTAAAAGTGCTTAAAGATGGCACGAGAGTAAGAAACATTGTGATCAAATCGGTACTCTGAATTTCTATGATTAATCAAACAGAGGTAATGCTTTCTCATTTTCCTTTTTACTTCACAAATCATCATGACATTCCTACCACTCGACCTTTTTAGAAATCATGGCTTAGGCCAATGGCTCAAATTCAGTAATTTTATTCTTCTAGTCTACAATGTGACTGGAGAGAATTTGACTCGTATTGTTGTCTTTCCCTTTTGAGAGCTCAATCGTTAAAATCTCATTGCTAAACTTTACTCAGAGATTCGTTTTATATGAAATTGTTGTACATAAATTATTGTACTGAATGTTTTTTGCCTAATGTCTGATACTCTATTACAGTGCATATATATCAGAAAACCACATTAGGATCGAAACTTTTTCCGTGTCTTCGCTCACGTTATCTCACTTTTGTAAACATCAGCAAAGAGTACTGTTTCGTACTATAACATATAAAATTCACTCATGTGAAGAGGATTACAAGCTTTTTCCCGGCACATGAAAATTATTAATGTTGCATTCAGATAAATTACAAACCCTGATTTACTTGAACCATAGTCATTCTATTATAAAGCGTTCTCATCTAAACTATAGCAGATAGAATTCCTTCTCAAGACTGTGATGAAAATGAAACATCCAATCAAGACATCACCGCTTAGACATTGCCCACACCCACTTACCAGACCGAAGTGCCGCGAATGTCTATAATATTTTTCATGAAACGACTACAAGCACCGATAACGTTAAGGCGTCGAAAACAGCAACAGGAACGGCAAACTCTCCGCATAAGGTTTAAGCGCAGCTTCTAATTTTTGTTGAAATGAAACTGTCTTTTAGTTTTTGTCATTCGCAGTCCAGGTAAGGATTGTTCGGAAAACGTTGATGTTGAAGGAATTTTAGCAATATCCCTGTTTTAAAACTAGAAAGTTTACAAAGACGCAATAATTTTGTGCTGCTTTCAAGTTTTACCTATTCCACTGCTTCATTCGAAACAATCGTTCCAATATTATAAGCTTAGCATTCGACGAAGCCCCGAACGCTTACTGTTTTATTGTTAAAGAATGTGCTTTTTATGTCGCTCAGAGTATGAGCTTCGGGGTTTTGTACAATCCCAAGATTCCGCAAAATCTGACGCTGTCATTTTTTTCTCGACAAAGGCGATGACAATGAAGAGATGGCGGAGATGTGAAAGTTGAATATGAAGGCATATGCGATTTGGATCTTAAGAAAGTGAAGTTTTCGATGAATCATAGTTGCAAGTGAGAGCTTAGCAAATATGAGATTTATGATTTTCGTCTGTGTACGCTCTCACAAATGTTGTGAAGTTGAAGAAGTGACCTCAAATACCTTTTAGGTATCGAGTGACGGTGTAATAAAAAGCGTAAATTGTCTTTTTGCGGCTAACTGTGCAAATTAGATAAAAACACGATCTAAATGTCCCTTCTACGTTTACAACGAAAAATTGTTTCTCGAGTGTACGTGGAACATATTAGAAGTTATGCAGTCGGATATTTCAATTGTTACCTTGAAGTTCCAACCCGCTGGTTTACTTGGAATTTTTTTCTATCAAAACAGCTTGAAGATGAAAACGAGTTGGGTGTCAAAAAAAATGCCATGCCATTATTTGAAAAATCATTTGAGTGTTATCAGTTTCAACCACTACTACAACCAGATAAGAGTCGTCAAGCATATGACGCGTTTATTCGCATGAAATTCTGCGGGGAAACAACAAAACAAGCTGAGGTATTCAAAAAAAAGTAAAACAATTCAATAGATACAGTCATGAGAAAAAGCAACATGTGTCATAACGGAATGATGATGTGACCATTCTTGACCACACTCGATAACTTGTCAACTAAAATTTTCTGTAGATTACAGCGTCTCTTTAGATAAAAGCGAGCTCTTAATTCACAACCAAAGAAGGCACTTATGCGACGAACACTCCAAACTCACGCGAGCTGTATGAGGTAGGAATTTCCCTACGATCGAACACTTCCGCCACAAAAAGTGCCTGAATGAATATTGGTAAAAGATGGAACGTGCGACTCTCTATGAATCTCGGCATGGTGTTGATATTGTAATTGTGGTTCTGAGCCTTGACCCGAGATTGTTAACACTTTATTGGCTGACGTTTCGGCAAGTCGCCTTCTTCAGAGCCTGGAATGGACAGTACGACTTGCAAACTATTCGATCAAACGTCTCTGCAGCCATGCAAACAAAACTCTAAGGCTTCGGTAGATAGTAACTAGCTGCCTAACCAAGCACTCACCTTTTGAAAACGCCGATAGAGTTCTAATGCCAGAGCGAGCGTAGAATGAGTGAATGCATATGCCACGGCTATTTATAACGTCTCCGCCGGGTCAGAAGATCTGACCCAAGTAGGGAGCGAGCTCACGTGTGATGGCTAGGCATTCTTCCTTGCGATTCATTTTAGGGCTTTTGGCGTGAATCCAAAATGCCTCTAAACACTTGCGAGCCGATGTTTGTGATTCATGCGCTAATATTTTCACTGTGACTTCGAAATTTGTCTCCGCGTGTTTTAGCGCCCTGTGAGTGCCTAGTGGGGTGGAGGTTCGTGATCTATCTTTGCCGTCTAAGTGCTCTCTTATGCGAACACATAGCGGCCGCGCTGTCTCGCCTATGTACTCGTCGCCGCAGCTCGCGCAGGTGATAAGATAGACGACCCCCGTCGCCATGCAATCCCCGCCCCTGCCCCCAGGGCAGATGATGCAGTTGGGCGTGGTGCAGCCGCGATCATAGATACGATTGCGCACCAAAATGCTCTTAAGATTATTTGGGGGTATTTCCACAATCGTAACTGTATTTTCTAGCCCGCACTTCCTTAGACACTGTCGAAAAACAGTGCTTACTTCATCGGAAATATAGGGGATGCAAAAGGGGATCTTTTCAGCTGCGCACGTTCTGTCCACCTGAGTACGACGATTTTCACCCCTCCTCGCTGTTCTGGCACGATTTTTATACCCATTGGAGGCGGCGATTTTCCTCGCAAGCGCAAGTGATTCCGCTCTTTCTTGTTGTCCACTACAAACGCGAAGGGCTGTGCGGAACATATTTTGAATGATTGCCTTCTTTGTTTGACGCGGATGAGCTGACCTAAAGTGGACAAGAATGTTTTTATTACTTGGCTTACGATACCATTTTGTGACGTGCGAGCCTGAGGATATGTTGATCTGCACATTCAAAAATGGCAACCATTCATCGCTGGGCCTTTCCCTGGTAAGCTTAATGTATGCAGATTGTTCGTTGAGTATTTTTAAGCAATTGTCAACTTCTGCTTGAGTTGGGCAGATTATGAAACAATCGTCGATGTATCTGCAATACAGTAATGGGCGGCATTCTAGAATTGGCGCTTCGATTTTGGCCATAAAGGCTACTGCAAGCGTGGGCGCTAACCTTTGTCCCATCGCCAACCCTCTTACTTGCGCGTAATAGCTCCCGTGCCATCTGAAAATATTGCACTCCAAACACGCTTTGAGAAGTGTCATGAGCTGTGAGACTGAAAGCCCGTAAAGGTTGATGTCGGTTTCGTTACCCACAAGAAGCTCAGACACAGCTTGCAACGCGCAAGCTGTGTCTGAGCTTCAAGTAAGAGGGTTGGCGATGGGACAAAGGTTAGCGCCCACGCTTGCAGTAGCCTTTATGGCCAAAATCGAAGCGCCAATTCTAGAATGCCGCCCATTACTGTATTGCAGATACATCGACGATTGTTTCATAATCTGCCCAACTCAAGCAGAAGTTGACAATTGCTTTAAAATACTCAACGAACAATCTGCATACATTAAGCTTACCAGGGAAAGGCCCAGCGATGAATGGTTGCCATTTTTGAATGTGCAGATCAACATATCCTCAGGCTCGCACGTCACAAAATGGTATCGTAAGCCAAGTAATAAAAACATTCTTGTCCACTTTAGGTCAGCTCATCCGCGTCAAACAAAGAAGGCAATCATTCAAAATATGTTCCGCACAGCCCTTCGCGTTTGTAGTGGACAACAAGAAAGAGCGGAATCACTTGCGCTTGCGAGGAAAATCGCCGCCTCCAATGGGTATAAAAATCGTGCCAGAACAGCGAGGAGGGGTGAAAATCGTCGTACTCAGGTGGACAGAACGTGCGCAGCTGAAAAGATCCCCTTTTGCATCCCCTATATTTCCGATGAAGTAAGCACTGTTTTTCGACAGTGTCTGAGGAAGTGCGGGCTAGAAAATACAGTTACGATTGTGGAAATACCCCCAAATAATCTTAAGAGCATTTTGGTGCGCAATCGTATCTATGATCGCGGCTGCACCACGCCCAACTGCATCATCTGCCCTGGGGGCAGGGGCGGGGATTGCATGGCGACGGGGGTCGTCTATCTTATCACCTGCGCGAGCTGCGGCGACGAGTACATAGGCGAGACAGCGCGGCCGCTATGTGTTCGCATAAGAGAGCACTTAGACGGCAAAGATAGATCACGAACCTCCACCCCACTAGGCACTCACAGGGCGCTAAAACACGCGGAGACAAATTTCGAAGTCACAGTGAAAATATTAGCGCATGAATCACAAACATCGGCTCGCAAATGTTTAGAGGCATTTTGGATTCACGCCAAAAGCCCTAAAATGAATCGCAAGGAAGAATGCCTAGCCATCACACGTGAGCTCGCTCCCTACTTGGGTCAGATCTTCTGACCCGGCGGAGACGTTATAAATAGCCGTGGCATATGCATTCACTCATTCTACGCTCGCTCTGGCATTAGAACTCTATCGGCGTTTTCAAAAGGTGAGTGCTTGGTTAGGCAGCTAGTTACTATCTACCGAAGCCTTAGAGTTTTGTTTGCATGGCTGCAGAGACGTTTGATCGAATAGTTTGCAAGTCGTACTGTCCATTCCAGGCTCTGAAGAAGGCGACTTGCCGAAACGTCAGCCAATAAAGTGTTAACAATCTCGGGTCAAGGCTCAGAACCACAATTACAATTGGTAAAAGAATTATCGTATTTGTAAAATTTGACATACCATGAGTATCCCCACGGCACTACCAAGCAATGCTCCGACCAGGACGTCTGACCAGTGGTGCTTGTAGTCCGATATCTGAAATCTCAAATTCTCTTTGCATTTTTTCTTGGTCTTCCCCTAAATAAAAAAACAACGTAAATCCCAAGACGAAGATTGTAAATAATAGGTCGTTCCATAAATTTGAAGCGTTTTTATTCTCGTTCTCATGCTTTGAGGAGCCGTTTATTTGGTGCAAGATGCATGTATCATTGACAGGAGCTGTTTATGCTCATGAAGCTAATAGTTCTTTTAAATGAAAAGCTGATCTGTTTTAATTTCTAGCCTTCAATAAGGGATTTACCAAAAAATGAAAGGAAGCTAATTCGGCACTCATTTTTTCTTATGAAGAAATGCATTTCGCGCAGATTTTCTCGCCAACTATTGGCGATGGCGTTTTTCGCCAATGTGAAACAAAAAGGATTGGATTGCTACCAAAAAAAAAGAATTTGCAGCACGCCTCCTGAATAGGACCTTTTGCAGGTTAGACAGGAGGTTGTGCACTGAAACTTGCTAGGCAAGGAGAACACGGCCGCCCATACAGTACGCAACCCGACTGCACAGTCTAAACGAATTTCTAGCGTAGAAAAGGTCTGAAGAATAAGTCCAGTGAGCTTTCTTGCGTGACATAACTCAACCCGAAACAACCGTCGTCATAGTTGTCCTTCAAGATTTGACTAGGAGATACATTAGCATCCTATGCACACCAAAGATCTCGCTCTAACATACTATCATCTATTCCAATCCATCACAAACCATATGAACGGCGTCTGTTTTTATTCCGAAGACGATCTCAGGTGCTGGTTAGACGCTTTCTGGGCCAAACCCCCTGGTTTTGGAAAAACGGAAATGAAATTTTGATGATACATATGGTGGTGGAAAGTTGGGTGCAAAAAGGGAACATACGCTGATGACTGAATTTTGCTAATTATCGTCATTTATTGATTCATAAAAACTCTACGAACTTATGGAAGACCTGATATTTTTTTGCAAAAAACATTTTTTTGTCGATCATAATATTATCCTATAGTGCTGGTTCGATAGCATGAAGCAGCACTTACTCAACTTTATGAGGAAGTTCTGAATTAGTAACCTTGTCATAGCTTGTTTTTTCATATTTTGAAAATTCTTGAGATGCGGCTTAAAAAGTTTTTTTGCCATTGAAGGAAATAAATATAGCTGCCGGATATGCAATCTTTGTTTTCTTGTGTAGCACAAAAAGGAAAGAAAAATCACAAATTGGTTACGAAAAAAGAAAGAAGTTTTGCAGAATCCATGATATAGCAGTTTCTTCAAATTCCTAAATTGTGCTAATGCACATCATTTCAAACACTCAAAGGTGCCAATATTTAATAACTGATCTATGAAAAGAATTTACGGCTCAGTACACCAAGAAATATTTCATTTTGTTGGAAATAAAAGCGAAATTAAACAACAACCTAACAATGCTGTTTTGCACCGAATTTTTCCAGTTTTTCATGTCAGTTACCAAAAACAGCAGTAACCTTGAAGAAGATAAGACCTCTGAGAAGCGAAGCGACTCTTTATTTTAGCATGGTTTTATTTGCTGATGATGGTGTTACCTCGCAGTAAATCTATCCAAAAAATTGCAATAAATTCGAAACCTACCCGTGTTAAAGCAACCCAGCCGGCTGTTCCAAGCAGCAAAAACTGTATGGCGGGCACTAATATTCTAGAAAATACAGGTCGATATATTCTTGCTCGTAGGTAAAGCTGAAATCATACACATTCTGTCAGAACGAATCTATGTCGCCAAAAAACCGTAGTACCGAGCAGAACCAAGCTACGTAAAAGCTGAAGGCAGAATGGCCAGAAAAGAACGAAAGCATAGACTCATTTATCAGATATTGGTCTGTCCCCGTACAAGTAAAATCCGTTATGTACTTGTTTGGTGTGGTGCACTAAAATAGGAAAAGGATACAAATTATTTCCTCATGTCAAAGATCCTTACTCAAAACCTCATTATATCCTCGACTTGGTTGGCACACATCCATAAAATGTGGCCGTTGTCGTCCGATGGTGTACTTCCCTATGTCAACCAACAATTGGTTGAAAACAATACCAAGAAGGAAATAACCTAAACTGGCATGGAAAGAAATAAGAATCCAAGTGCATGTTGTTAACAATTCAACTTACCTATAAAACAATAAAGTCGCACAACAATTCGATGAACATCATGACCTTTAAACATATATGTCACAAATTCATTCTCGTATTTCCTGTCTAACACCAGGACACGAAAAATTTCAGTGATAATTATCTAAAAGAAAAGCAACATTAAGTTACCTCCTACCACGATAATTTTCGAAATACATAATATCTATTTAGATTAGGATCTCCAAATAGAAAAAGAGTTTACGGTTGCGATACATGAGCTATGTTGCCTTTATATATTGGGATAAGATTAGGTTATTTCATTATCAATGCACGTTCCTTTACCTGCTGCAGCAGAAAGGACAAAATGCATGGAACATCACTCAATAGAGTGAAGTAAGCTCTAGAAAATGGTTTTCAAAATTCTCTAAAAATTTGCTATACTTGAAGGTTGTTAGAAAAATCTGAAAAATTTTGGACGCCTAAGTCATTTTTTCCTATCAAAATCCTACAAACCTCTAACTTGCTTTCCATGGCTAGCAGTTAAGGAAATGGAAACAGACATGCTTCAACTAATGCAATGCTAGAGTGCCCCGACAGTAATTTCATACTAGACCTCTAAATTCTATACTACATATTTTAAGTAATAAATATTCAACCTCTCTCAAGCGCTAGTTGTCGGGGAGCACCAAATTTAAAGTTGGATATCGGGAAAGGTGACATTTTCGCATTTAGCCTATTTTTTATTTTCAAGTTGCGATCACAAAAAAATAAGGCATGTGGATACTCTTGACAGAATTGAAGGGTCACTATTTTTGTACGGAGTTTAACGTTTAAGTATTTGTAACTTTTCTCCCAAACTTCAAGCAGTCAAATTTCCGCGATTGTTCGAATGAGCTCCTGTAAAGCTTATTTTGCTCTATCGAATGTTACAACTTCTCCGCCTCGACATGATTAGGAACACGCATTAATTTGCATCAACCTAATTCGTGACTTTCGAGATCTATTCTGAACACCGGTAGATAACTGTGAAGGTAAACTCGTACTTATCGATTCAATTGGATATTGGATTGGCGGCTGGAAGGCGGGGCTTCGTGACCTAATTTAGGCTAGAGAATGATCAGAAAGCATGCTTGCGAGAGAGACGCAGACCGCGTCGCGGCGCGAGAGGTCGCCTTCCAGCCGGCAATCTCGCTAAATCAAAGGGTATAAAGAAGGAAAAGTTGATGCGACGGAAACTCACTATAACCAATCCTACTATCGTTCCGACGATGGCACAAATTTGCCTTGAAACCTGAGACTTTCTAAAGGGATATCGAATCGACTCGTCATCACAGTAAAATCCTCGCTTGTACGGTTTCGCTAATAACTCGAAAAGAAGCAGTGGTATGGCTGAAAATAACGGAAGGACTAAATTTGATATGCTGAATGCAACAAGCACTAGGTCAGCGCAAAAGTCGTGCCGTTCAATCAGAGAGGATTTCTCCTTTTTTCAGTCACATTTCCAAGCATTTCTTTTTAGGGAGCGTCAACTCGTTTTTCAGCTCAACATTCAGCGATTCCGATTTCTGGGGCTTTTTTGAAATTTTTTCAGGAACATGTGACAAGCGGATGAGTTAGTTGCAGTGTATACCTTTCAATTTTAGAAAGTGTGTTGTCTGAATTGTCCAATCACTTATTGAAGTCATCAGAAAAGTGAAAAATTAGGAAATGGTTTCTCTAAACACTCATTTTAAACAGTAAACGTGCCGCACCGCTTTGAAATATCAGACTTCTAAAATTCGCGTAAGAACTGCAAAACAAAGAAAAACAAAAAATAAAAGGAAATTTTTAAGCAAACTTCAAGGTTGGAGCGAAAGTATTCTATGGTTCCAAAAGTAAACTTTTTTAAAAAATTCTGTTTTATCCCTGGGGATTTTAGGATGTCATTTGATAGAACGAAGCAAGCTTTACAAAATAACATCAAACATTTGCCTTAATCGTAATCCAGGTAGTATCCCGAGTTGAAAATGAATTTTCTATTACCTAAAAATGGGATCTCCTTCTAGAAAATTTTTACGGACCTCCAACATTTTCCTTATAGAATGGACACACAGTAGTACCCAAAGATATATTTGATGGATGTGTCTCAGGGCTCAAAATCAAAAATTAAAATAGTCATGGAACCCAAGATGTTGTTTTTTGGGGTTTTTTGTGTTGAACTTGGTATTTCTCGACAGCTAAGACGCATGCAAATAAAATACTTTAAGGTTAGACTTATCAAGATTTGTACTATACAGTGACATATGTGGGAGCGGGCGGAGTTAGCCATTACTCTCTTTTCTCTCGTTTTCTATGCGCAGAAAAAACTCAGTAACGGCATCTCTGAGTGCTACGTGTAATGTATAGTGACTAAGTTGAGAGTCCTAAGGATTTAGCGTATCTAGGAAAAATTTTCCGGTTTTGGCTCCAAACTTTGCCTGGATTACGGCTTAGGCGGACCTTTGGTGGTCATTTTGCATAGTTTACTTCGCTCTATCGAATGATACCCTAAGTCCAGGAAAACAAAAACAACTTGATATGTTTAGAAAAGTAGTTTACTTTTGGTACAATTTAATGATTACTAGGTTGGCTCTATCCAACTGCTACTCAATAGTTTTCAAGTTATAAATGTAAAGGAATTTGAACAAAGTGGACGGATTTGAATAGCTCTTCTTACAGCGTTCATCCAAAAAATCATATAAGAATACAACTGGAAAGATAAAATTTATGCGAAAAAACTTTTCAAGACCCTCATTCTTTAATCTCACGAAAAGATCAGAAAAAACGGCATGAACTTTTAACCACCTTAGTTTTGAAAACTCACCACAGCATGCGATAACCACGATGTCGCCTACAACTCGGGATATCCGTATTGTATACGCCATGCGCCACTCTGACTAGATGACTAAAACTAATCGGACCTTTTGGCAGAGAAGGGATCCTGAACCAGTTTTTACTATATGAGCTCTTTAAGCTAGGTTTTCAGTGCGAAAATCAGAGCCGATTTGAGAAGAAGAATGAAAGAATCAGTTTTGTCATTGAATGAGCAAAGTGACGCATGCATGTTGCAGAACATTGAACAACATATAAAACTTCCGATATTATGTATGTGAAACGTGAGTCATTGGTATGAAAAATGAAACAAACGAAGAATCGACTAAGAAGAGCACATAGTAGCTAGCGCTGAGTAAATCTTTTCTTTGTTTGTACTGCAGAAACAACCACAAAGTTTTCAGAGTGTTAAGAATTTATATAGATACTGAAAATTCTATGCCAGTAAATCAAGATCCAATATTATTTCGAATAAAGGGCTACAGATGCTCCAGTCTTAAGGACCCGTCATACTTCCCCGAAAGATGCCTAAAAGCGCCCAAAAACGCCAGCAAAAGAACATCGTTGATAACATTATTGTCATTGAGGAAGCACTCAATATCTGACGAACAGATGTTTGAGATAATCCTTGCTTTGATTTCAGCATAATCAGGAATACGCAGCCATACTCGTGAGCCCTTAGCATCATTTCCTTGAAAGAAAAGTTCAAACTGACAAGGAGCTATAAAGGACCAGATATTGCCAACAATACCAAGACACAATAGTTGGGATGCATGTGAAGCTAAATTACCATGCGGTTTCCTAAGAACTACAGTTGCTAAGTTACGTTGAACTCTGTTTTATCCGGCTTGGAACTTTTGGTAGAATTCTGGGTATTTTGATGTGCAGACGACAGAAAATGAAGCAAAAAACATATTTGTGAAAGCATCGCGCATGTCCTAGCGTCAAAACTCGCACGCGAAAGGGGGTCCGCCTTTTTCTGGCGCTTTTGGGCATTTTTTCGGCGAAGTATGACGGTCCCTTACCCTTCTTGATTTTACAAGCGCTCTCCTTGCGACTATCTTTAACTTCCAAAAAGAACAGTTCTAGATTAATTTCGCCGGATACTATTGAAAAATAGGAGCACGATACAATGTCAGCAGACATAAGGCATTAATGAATCACTGAAACATTGAAAACTATATGTATTCGTGGAGTCTTCCAAAAGCAAGAGTACACAAATGTGGAATGAATCGTCACACTAGTTGGTGACTTCAAGTGTTTGATAAGTTTTTGTAAGCTTACAAGAGCATGTGAGACCGACGCAAGCTACCGCTTTAATTCTTAATGGGCCCCATTCGACTCAGCTCGTCGTTGCGTCTTGTAGAAGTCTTATAGAAGAAGATGTGCCTGTTTATAAGCTATAGGAGGCCGGATTCCACAAATCGTTTCAGATTTCTACTTACTGGAGGTTGTCCAGTGAGTGCACTGGTATAGCACAGTGAGTGACCTACTATGAGCAAAATTTGAATTTGTGGAATCTGTCCTCCCGATGTGTCCAAGAAGGGGACTTCCATATATCGCAAGATGCGCCGCGCCAGACTGAGTCGAAAGGTGCCCTTGGATTAAGAACTCGTCCACTCTGAAGCGAGATATGGCCACGCTACTGTGATGTCACATAAATCGGGCGACTGTGCGCCGTATTTTTCAAAAATTACAAGCGGTATTGTATTGAAACCTGAACATTTCTTTTCCACTGCTGCACATCTATCAAAAAAAAGAAAATATCCATGTTTTCTTACCCTTAATCGAATTTCTTGAACTTTCAAACCTATGTTTTGCCTTTTACGAAGATATCATACTGCACAATTTTATAGAAGGTAAAAGAGGAAGGCATGGCAATGACCAAAATCGTTGTAAACATCAGCTCTTTCATGATAGAGATAGCACTGAAAGGGTTTGAGTGCAATAGCTAACCAAATATATGCGGACGTGAAACGATTGAGTTAGATGGCGTATCTATTCAGCTGCAAGAACACGACTGCAGAGTTTTTACTAACAACAGGGAAATTGTTACGAAATTTCAGCCCTTTGTCTACGCTGTTGGCATAACCAAAACAGAACTGATGAGAGATATAATAAAAAGAATGATTATTTGATAGATAGCTCAAGCTTTGCTAGTCTAAACATGTGACCCTAATTTTCGGAAACATTTGTTCCAGAGACACTCTGGGGCGGAATACATTAAGTCGTCTAGAAAGCAATTCTGCTTTTTTAAACGAGAGTCACATACTACAGATTAAAAATTTGGAGCATCTTACAAGGGAAGGTTCTTGGCGACCCTGGCCTTTTGAAGTGAAACGCATGCCATCAAATGCATCTTTAAACGCTGATTCCAGATGTGCCATCGATATTTGCTGTGCACTTTCGAACGAAATTATGAATATTTACCAAAATTTACACTTTTGATGATAGGATTCACCAATATCGTTAGAATGCTCACTTACGCACCACAAAGGAGAGTCCAAATAAAATGAAGCTTTAAGCTGAGCTCAGGGGATTTGTTTCGATATATCGTAGTCTGAAAAGCCTGGATACTGACGATTCTGACTGCCTAGATCTCGTGAAATTAATACAGATGAAAGTTCATAACTTCGTCCAAAGAGTCGCACAGCAGATATTGAACATAAATTTGGAATCAGCGCTCCAAGACCCAACTATTGGTATACATCTCACTGCAAAAGGTCACGGTCAACAGGTATCCATCCCTTGTTAGCTGCATTCGACACAGCTTTCATCCTCTTTCAAAGGGGAACGGAATTTACCTATCCGAGATATTCTCGCACCTCAAGGGTGTGTCTCTGCGGGGTATAATTAGGCATAGCGAACTTGCTGATTCTATTATATGTGCTCCTTAGGATACAGCGCTAAGCTACGCCCCGCCCATACATTGCACCTTTTTGGCATAGAACCAAGGATTGCCAGAAAACCAGGCAATACCTGAGGACATCCAGGGTGGCTCAGCGCTAGAATGAGCTAAAAGATGGCTGCGAGGCTCAAAATGGAGCTAATAGGAAGAAAAAAAAGATGGTTGTCATTAGGAGGATTAGGTATATGAAGGGAACATGTTTCGAGAAACTAGGTCATACATAAATATATATATATCATTTATATAGATAAAATATTTAAATCACAAAAATGTGTGCAGCGTCCTGACATTGATAATTTGATAAACTGGCCGACCTTCACAGTCTTTTATCATTAAGTTTACATTTTCAGGGCATGCTGTTCTCACTAGAAGAATGAGTCACTTTGTCTAATGTTCAGAGAAACAGTGAAAAATCAGCTTCACACGCATCCTAAAGCATGCCTTATATTTTTGTCGAGATTTCTTAAGCTAAAAGTCGAATTTACCAAGGTAAAATTTCTGCTCGGTAAGAAAAGACAGCGCAAAATCAATAGCATATTTCAAAAGAGCGCCTCTAACAGTAAGAAACCTAAATCTGCATTCTTATCGAAATTGATCAGATAGTTGCTGAACATCAGTCTTGTGATTCTATTGAATTCGCGGTGTCATGATGATGCACCAAGAAAGCGTCGATGGGTGGGGGCGGGGCTTACAATACACACAGACTAAGCTCAGTACACTATGCTAATTGCGTATCTGACTGCTCATAATACCTAATACACTCTTATTGCTACGTCTTATTGGTTTTTGTCATAATCAGCTTTCGCCTTTTTCTCTGGGTTTTGCGCCGATTACTAAAGGTGGTACTGGATGGATAGGGCAAACACTACAGCATACAAAATAATTCTTTCTTTTTTTATATAAATTTTCATAGTGCTTGATAGATTTCTTTGATGTTACGAGTTTCCATTTTTGGTCAACTCAAAACTCGTAAAACATCAATCGACGAGCAAGTAGAATGTCATTCGATGCAGCTTTTTCTAATCTTCTGATGGGTATTTTTCATTTCCAATTCATGGCATTATTACTCATGTTTTTCGACGCCCTAGGGTGTACCCAAAATCTCGAAATCTGATATCCCGATCCGTGAACGCTCATCTGCTTTGTAAAATTCATGTTAAATCATCATAATAGGTTGACGCAAAAGTTCTTTCGCACCAAATTCAAAAATTCATAACTTGTTGAATTCTCAACGAATTTACAAGATCCAAATTTTGTACAGGAGAGGAACTCATGCTCTTTGCAAAAGTCCCTGGATGTTCGTTAATGTATACAAATGAAGGAGGTAGAAGTTCAAAACCAAAATCACTCAAAATTTGAATTTTCGTGTAGGGTCATAAAAAATCGGAAACTTGCAGCGAAAATCGAAGCAGTCGGTATTGTAGGCTCTTTCACCAGCTCTTACTAACAGTGCAAAATTTGCGCTGATTGAGCGTCTATATGAAAAGTTATGTTTTCTTTGAAAAATGCCAAAATATCAAATTCGCCCTTTTGTATTGCTTGCTCAAAAATCGTAACTTTTCATAGAGACGCTCAATCGGCGCAAACATTGCATTGTTAGATAGAGCTGGTAAAAGAACCTACAATACCGACTGCTCCGATTTTTGCTGCAAGTTTCCGATTTTTTATGACCCTACACGAAAAACTCAAATTTTTAGTGATTTTGGTTTTGAGCTTCTATCTCCTTTATCTGTTCTCGGTAGCGAACGGTTCAAGAACCCGTGCAAAGAGCATGTGTTCTTCTTTATACAAAATTTAGATCTTGCAGATTCGTTAAGAATTCAACAAGTTATGAATTTTTGAATTTGGTGCGAAAGAACTTTTGCACCAACCTAATACCTTCTTGAAAGTTTCAAATTTCGAAGATATTTCTGTATTTGATGCGTTTGTGTTTGACTGAGACCTGCCATTGTCAAGTGATTTCAAATTGATTAGAGAATTTTGACGAAATATAGAAAGGGGAGGCAAATAATTATCATGGTTTGCGCTACCAATCCGCTATCCGGTATAAAAATATGGAGAAATAGCGAAACTCGACTTTTTCAAAAAGCGTGGGATGCAGTCTTTGATAAATTTCTGAGAGCTCGTTGTTTATACTGGAATGAAGCTATGATCATTTTAGAGGAGCTAAAATGCTGCATCGAACGCTACTAACATATTTTAA